GTTTTTTTAAAAACTCAGCTAGTATCTCCATCTTGCAGAAAAAAAAGACTCCAAACAGCAGTTAACAGTTAAAATGTCAAACTTGTTATGTTCAAAGTCTGCCTTGGCAGCAGACTGAACATTTTACGCAGCACTATCCTCTCCTGAAACTGACCCATCAGCATCTCTTCCTGTCACGGCTGGCAACTTGTTTGTCTCCACTTTCAGTTCCCAAATGTCTGCTGGTTGCTGACAGAGAAAACCTAAAACCAAAATGATTTAGTGAGCGCATTCTGCATTTTTATAGCAGCCTTTAAGCAACATATTTGTGGGTTTCTAGCAGGCTTTGGAGATATTTTCAGCCCTTTGTAGTGTCTCCATGAAAGGAACATTCACAAAAACTTGTTTCAAATTGCCACTTACATTGGAAGATACCAATATAGTTTCTACTGCTGAGGTTTTGAGTTTTATGCTTCTAACCAAATATACAAGGGCAGCAGCACAACTTTATTTGTGGTGTTCAAAGGTGGAAAATCAAACATGAGCAGCTACAGTGTTCTATTACATCCAGATAGTCCTTTGGTCCTGCTGTTGGCAGTTTTCTGATCAGTGAGGACACAGATGTGTTTTTTTTTTTTTTCTTTTTCCCCTTGCAACTGAAGGGTCATTTTGTGTCTTTGCTAGTTAGCACCACCCAGTGCTTGTAGATCAGCACCAGCGTGCAAGGTTTATCAGCAAGCAATTCATTCTGGATTCAGAAGAAAATACACAGTGGCAGTGGAAAGAAGAGATCGCTTTCTCTTTTCCTCTCTGGCTGCTTCCCTTCTCTTCTATCGTCTGCACATCACCTGCTCATTAGCCCTGCCTTTAAAAAAGATAAGGAGGATTGTGTAAGGAATGGCCATTGACATAAATCTGTTGTCTTATCTGAGGGGCCTTGGTTTTACTCGTGCTTGCAGTTTTTACTCAGAGATGAAACTGAGACTTTGGCTTCATGTTTGAAAAACTGTGAATGAGCTACAGCTGAGTTACTCAGTTACAGTATCAGAAAGTCTCTCCAGTGTGAATGTGTGGTCCTGGATTCAAACATTAAAGAACTAAGAATATTAACAGTATTTTTACAGGTCACACACACTTTATTACAGATAGAGGTAAATTATAGTTCAGAAGAATCAAGTCAAGTTACAGTAGAAAATAGACACATACATCATAAGGTCAACATTCCCAAGCTAGTTTCTATTTTTCTGACAGGACATAGAGCATCCTTTGTTCTGCTGGAGCAAAAACCCCTTGAACAAACGGAATGGAGGAAGCTACAAATATTTTAAGTAGCTCTCACTGCGTTAAAAAGGACAGTGACTCAACCCTGGGACAGTGACTTCTTGTGTTTGCCTAAGTTTTGCCAAAGACAGTAAATAAATAGAGGGAGCAACACATAATGTTTTAACCAGAGAGCTTCAGATATGCTGGACATTTTTTTTTTTATTCCTTCAGACTGAACTAT